TAAAGGACATCATTATAGTATCATGTTTTTCATTTCTAATTTCCCCGTTTGCTGTATTTTTTTTTGTAGTTTCCATCTGTCTATCCAAGTTCTTCATCTGTACATATATGTTGTCTACCTTTTCCACTAGGTACTTTAAAGTCTTAATCATAGCTATTTTTACATCCCTGTTTCATAATTTCAAAAGCCGAACATTTCTGGAGCTGGCCCTGTTGATTCTTTTAACTCTTCATGATAGGTCATTTTTGTCTTGTATTTTGTGTCTCATTTTTTAAAATTGAATTTTGGACATTGTATATAAAAAATGCTGAAGTCCTAGGTAGACAGTATTTATATTCTGAACAGAGCAGGCCTCTTCTGTCAGCCCATAGTGTTGGGAGTTGCATCAATCTAGTCAGGAGTTGGGCTGGCTTTGGTTTTTGTTTGTAGCTATTGATATTTCAGTACACCACTGGACTTCAAATTCCTGGAGTGCTGGATTGCCATTGCCTCGTGCTTTGTGGGGGGCCTAGGACTCCAAAGTGTTTTTCTCAGTGCACCTGTTCCACCCTCTGCAGGTGCTACATCCCTGAGATACAGTGGATGCTTCTCTCTCTGTCCTTTCTCCTCCCCCAGTGGTAGATTGCTGTTTCTTGTTATTCATTACAAGGCTCCTGTTTGGAACAGAGTGATTTCTTGTATCTCATGCTCTACTCTCAGTGATAGGCAGGCCTGATGTACCTTTACCTCAGGTGGAACTTTCTCAATACTTCCACCCCACCTCCCATGGAAGCTGAACTTTGCCTTTTATCAATGCTAAGTCCTCGGTATAGTGAGTTTTCTATCCCATCCCCAACAGCAGATGGCTTTTGCTTCTATGTCCTCTAGCAATGGTGACATTTTTCTGATATATGCCAAGGAGGGTTTCTTTCCTTTCTCCTAGACACGGATGGCTTTTACCTCAAATGAGAAAAGAGTCCACGATTCTGACATACAGTTAATCACAACCTGCATTCCTATACCAGTGAGGAAGGCTCTTTTAGGTCTCCCACCCTCTTGCTTTCTCATGAGTACCCAACAGATGCCTGTATATCTCTTCTTTTCTATCAGGCTTGCAGAGATTCTAATGTGTTAGCTCTTACCAAGCCTTTTAGAATTGGTTTAAAATCCAGTTGTTTTTTTCTTATGCAAGTTTTGTTGGCCATCTCTTCATCCTGTGCTTTGACAAATGTGAAAGAGTTGTCTCTCCTCAGAGGGACTTTTCATACTTTGAAATTCAGTTCACTTGGTTGCTTTGCAACCTCAGCTCTCTGATGAACTAAAAAAAAATATGATTTTGTAGGTTTTCTAATATTTATGTTGAGGGATAGTGATGCTCTCTTCTGGCTTTGAACTTGCTAAATGTTACCAGAACTCCAGAGTTGAGTGTCTAACTGGACCATGTTGTTCTCTTTCTTTAAATGTCTTTTCCCAGTTCCCCTTTGCCTTAAAGGTGAGCCCTAACCCACTAGCCTGTCCTGCCAGGACCTTTGAGATCTGGCCCATATCCATCTCGCCAAGCCTCAACTTGCACTCCAGATATAGGGACCTTGATAGTTAATATCTAAGCAAATCCTAAATGTTGTAGAAGAAATTCTCTATTTGTGGTTTTTATTTTTCAGTGCCTGAGAATCACCTTCAACCCTTTGAATGTTTACTCCTTCTAACATGCTTTAGGGTTTCATTTATTTATATTTTTTGTTTATTTAAGCATCAACTGTGGTTTTATGTAAGCTACATAAGTTTATGTAATTGAAGAAGGATAGATCTAACAAATGAAAAGCTATTTACAAATTAGTTCAATTATTGATGCTGTTGCTCTTGGAACTGATGAAGATTGACAAAGAAAATAAAATTGTTCCCAAGTAGGTCTTAACATCCTCATCTTTATCTGCCAAATTGTGTAGGAAATAAGAGGCAGGTGTGCTAGTTATTGGTTCATTGTTTCACAACCACTGTGTCTTGGTTGTTGTGCCAGATATTGACTATCTCATAAGTGGGTCATCTTCTACCACTAGCAGCCTCCACCCTTAATTTGAGGGTGCTGTATAAAAATCTTTTCTGTATGTGCCACGGCATGAAAAATGTTGGGAAGTGCTGGACTGATGATTTCCTACACACACCAAAAAAAGTTGGGAAGAAAGTAGTTGCAGGGTATTAGTAATAATTATAATTAATACCTATCTGATGGTGACTGTATGCCAGGAGTTTGCAAAACACTACCTTTGTCCGCGTTTCATGCTCAGACCAGTCCTACAAGGTAGTTGCAATCATCTAGGGCACTTACCCAAGGTCATATAGTTATAAAGTGGCAAAGCTGGGGCATAAAGTCAGGTTAGAAAATCCTACCTATTTAACCATTATGGCTTATTCCCTACATTATTAAATTATCTGCAGTAGAAATGGTTCATTATTTTTTCTCTCATCTTTTTCTTCTATTTGAGCTTGGGGCACTTGCACATAGGAAGTTGTTTTTCATTGCCACATTAATTGATTCTTCTAATAGATGAATTGTTGGAAAATGACCTATTTGAATTTTTTTTAAATGTTATGGGGAAAAAAATAGGTGCCTATAATTAACTGAGGTTTTGTGAGCACTGAAGAAGGAATTAACACCCAACAATAATAGCTATTATCACACTGAATGGAAAACATATTAAAATATGCATGATACAGAGTAGAAGTGTGATTGCCCAGGGTTCATGAAGTTCTCAAGTTGAGACATGTAGATTTTCTTGATTCATTCATGAAGTGCCAGAAATGTCAGAGAGCAAACAGGTCCCTTGGTGCTGAAGTCATTCATTAGAGATTAAATTTCACTACTAGGGTAATCTGAAAGCATCACAAGTCCTCATGACCTTAAAGAGAATTCTGAATGTTCAGTAATATTCTTTTATCACCTTTCACGTGGTATAGGATGCTGAGATACTCTCTAAGCCCCAGGACAGGAGAAGTCTCTTGCTACCGTTTTGACTTTAGTTTGTAATATAATGAATGCTTTGTTTGGAATTAAGAATATTTATATTTGCTCTTTTCTCCATTCTAGGTCGGTGATGTAGTAGAAGTACAGGCAGATGAAACTTTTCCCTGTGATCTTATTCTTCTATCATCCTGCACTAGTGATGGAACCTGTTATGTTACTACAGCCAGTCTTGATGGGGAATCCAATTGCAAGGTAATGAAGAGTAAACCTCGCTTATACATTTTAAGCTCAGAATAGTTCATCAATAAATACTCCTTCCCACTCCCCTAATCTTTTATCTTATTTTATCTTATTTGTGTACATTTTGTATTTGAAGACAGCTTTTATGTAGTTATCCTTGAACTTCTAAGAAAATTCTCAACTTTGGGGAAAGGGGTGGTATTAGGTGAAGAAAATCCATGTCCCAAGTAAAAGCCACCATATTTATATATATATATTATTGATTTCAGAGAGAGATAGAGACATCAATGATGAGAGAGAATCATTGATCGGCTGCCTCCTACACGCCTCACACGGGATCGAATACACAACCCAGGCATGTGCCCTGACTGGGAATTGAATCATGACCTCCTGGATCATACGTTGATGCTCAACCACTAGGCCATGCCAGCCGGGCACCACCACAAGCAGTTAGTAGTATATAAAAATATTGATATAACCCACTTAATATTTTATTGAGGCTTTTTAAAATGAGAGTAATCATAGGCTGAAAGTATCTACACTAATAAAAGACAAACATGCAAATTGACCATACCCTCACTACACCTTAAGCCTGGCCCACCAACCAATCAGAGTGAGTATATGCAAATTAACCCAACCAAGATGTCAGCCGACATCCACGGAGCTAGAGCAAGCAGGAGGCTTGGTTGCCCCAATGATGGAGGAAGAAGGGGACAAAGGAGTGATGAGGGAGGAAAGTAAACAA